GACATGAAACCTGGCTCGCGATCGTGACGAATGGCCTCACTAGCACCAAAACGTCCCAACACGGCTTCCTTGCGGGACTCGGCGACGGTCTGCGCAGTCCGCGACGCGCTCGGTTTCGCTATGACAAACCCGTGAATAGGTCCACCCATACCAGTAGCTCCGTGTTTCCCTTGTGCGACGCGGGCAACGACAAGATATGGTCCATCGCTATGACCTGGAATGGGTACGTCGCGACGATGTTTCCGGGCGACTCCCCTTGGATCGTCGCCTTCCTTTCCCGGTCTCGCAATCCGTACATTCTCCCACGTAGCGTTGCACGCTTTCGAACAGGCCCAGCCAATGGAAATGTTGCCGGATGCGCTGGTAGGTTCGGCCTATGCCTTGGTGTCCACCTTCCAAACTAGCGTGGTAGTGGTGCAGTATATCATCACGAAGTGTCTCCGGAACCACGATCTTCATGATTACATCCCGGGCTTCGGCCGACTCGTTTCCCCGCACATGGTAGTACAGCAGGTCGCTTTCACCCACCTCGTACTGGCCCGCGAGTTTGACACAGTCTCTCACCTCACGTATCGAGAGCTCGCCGATATTCCCTTTCAGGAATTGCTTCAGGTTGGATATCCAGAGCTCCTCTTCTTGTGTCACGCGGACCCGGTCCAAGCGGATACGTTGCACTACGAGTTCCTGCAGAACGCCCGGCTTTCGCGTGGTCGTCGTTCGGTTTACTGCGTCCCGGGATCGGGTAATAACCGGGGCCATACGCTTCATTCGGGTTTGGCTATATACCGTGTTTGGGTCAGCTCGTACTCCCGAGTTTCGGGTTTGGGGTCACGAGCATTCCTGGTCTGTGGACGTATGACTTCCTGTAATCGATTCAACGTCTTAATATTTTCCATCTCTTCGAGACTGTATGTGCCTGACGTTGAAGAGCCTGTCCTGCTAACATGTCGGCGCTCGCGTTCCAATCTCGTCGTACATGTAAGAATTCGTGTTTCGGCCAGGCTCGTGCAACATTCCACGCTTGTTGCCTCAGGAGCTTTAACCAAGGCGATATGCAGTCCATCTCATCTCTCATTTGTCTGATGACCAGGTTAGAGTCTCCACAGACTACTAGGCGCGTTACTTCCAAGCCGTCGAGGAGCAAACAAGCGAGCAACATACCTCGGTACTCTGCCTCGTTGACCGTGAGGTCCTCTGCGTACACCGAGGCCGCGCGTACTACGTCCCAGTTCGGCAGCTCCCAAACGATTGCGCTGAACGCTCCGCCTTCTCGCTTGACTCGCGCCGACCCGTCGAAGCTTACGACGTGAAGCCTCTCTGCCGTTCCGATCTTCAGCACGGGGATTGTGGTCGTCCGTGGTATCCGTTTCCGAGGGGCGATCTCTTCCAGGGTTGTATCGACATGTGCACGCGGTGTGATGCCCGTCGGCAGGGCCCCGAGGATTTCCTCTTCCCCTCTCGTGGATCGCTGGACCTCCAACTTCCAAGGTGAGAGGATCGCCGCCCATTGTGAGAACCGTCCCTGCAAACCCTTGGTCCGGAACAGCCATCCCAATGCCGTGGGTTGCGTAAGCACGCGTATGGTTTTCCCGACCAGCATGGTATACCCGTCGTTCAAATCTTGCAGCAGCGCCAGGATCCCCTTCTCGGTGATGTTGTAGTTCAACTCGTTGGGCTTCAGCGTTCGACTCGTGAACTTCATCAGCATGTACACGCCATCGTGTACTTGCGCAAGTACGACCAAGATGGCCCAGTCACTCGAGTACAATATCACGACGGGTTGCTTCTCCGCATCGAAATGTCTCAGCATCGGGGTCGTCGCGATCTTCGCTCGGAGTGCTTCGAACGCACGTTTGGCGTGCACCCACTTTTCATGGTTGCAGGCTTTCGGGTCCATGACGTACTCGCCAAAATCGCGTCCCGAGAGCGAATATAGCGCCGTTGCGTAGATCGCGAACTTAGGGATGAACCTGTGGTAATAATTCAAGCTCCCCAAAAACGATTGCAGACCCTTCAACGTTCGTGGGAACTCTAGCGTCGCCTAGGATTCCAGGTTCTTTGGCTTCGCCCCGAGTCCGAACTCCGATACCTCGTGGCCCAGGTACGCCACCCGTGACACACCCCACTCGCTCTTCTCGACGCTAATCGACAGATGCCACTCTTCACAGACCTATAGCAGTCGCTCAACCTTTTCACACAGGTCGTCTCACGTTGTACCTCCGATCAGTTTGTCGTCGATGTATGATCGTCGACCTAACACCGACCTCGTTCCGGGCTTCGCTAGATCTCCGTCGTTGAACAAATCGCGGGTGTCGTCGGCGGGCGACACCTTCCAGAACCCGTACAACGCGTTATCTATGAGCCGTTGATATATCTGCGGAGCGTTGCACAGTCCGAAGGGCATGCGTAACCATTCGAACAGGCCGAACGGAGTGATGAAGGCTGATATGAGCCTAGCACGTTCTGTCATTGGAACCACCCAGAAACCGCTGACCATGCCTCGGGAGCAGTACCACTTGTACTTGTCCAGGTCTTCAAGCAGGTCTGTTGCCAATGGCATGGGGTAGACCATCAGCCGCGTTAGACGGTTGACAAGTCTATAGTCGACGCAGAACCGGATATCCACCCCGTTTTTCTTCACGATAATAACGATGGGGGATGCCCATGGAGACTTTGAAGCACGGACCATACGAGCGCTGAGCAGACCTCTGATCAGATCCGCTAGCTTCTCCCGAAACTGACTCGAGATTTTCGCACGCGTTGAGCGATCGGTTTCGCGTTTCCCACGTCGATGT